CTGCTTCGTTTCACCTCAGCCAATCAGAAATAAAGCAGTTTGTACACCCACAGACACACACACGTTTTGCTCTCTCCGAAGCCTCAGTGGTTAAGAGACAAGGCTGGTCTCTGGAGGATAGTCTTACCTCTGAAGATCTTTCTGGAGGAGAGGAAGAAGGAGAGCAAAAGAAACGCGGAAAACAACGAAGAGGGGGAAGGGAGGTGAAGAAAGGTTTCGAGGGTAATAGAGAATGGTAAATAATTTATGAGAAACACACAGCGACAAACAGTTGATGATGATTGTTTATGGAGATAGATGTGGGTCGCTTCCTAGCAGCTTCATTTGTCTCCCTGCGTGAGACACTGTTTAAGAGAAATATAGGTTTATGTTGAAAGATTGACATCTACAACTAGCATCATTACTTTAGTCGAGATCGCACATCACTTGTGTGGTTTAGTTGCTGAGCGGATTGAAAGGCATAGATAAAAATGACTAAATTATTTAGTAATTTATTTCCCCTCATTATTTTTTTTAAAATCTGTGAATCACAAAATAGTGTTAAGCAAAATGTTCAAGCTGCTCTTTTTTCATGCAAGAGAAATTCAACAAGAAGAGCAGCTGTGATGTCTGATTTACAAACAAGTGACTCTTATGAACAGATTCTTTTCAATAAATCAGTCAAACAGATTCATGTGGCAGCCTCATTCTCTCAGTTTATCAGTAAATTCACTTAGCAAATCATTCAGAGCCATTACAAAGTTCATAACTTGCTTCCTCTGGCATTTTAAATACACATGTTCATTCATTCATTTTCCTTCGGCTTAGTTCCTTTATTTATTAGAATGAACTGCCAACAAGCACACACAGGGAGAACATGCAAACTTGTAAACTTCACAAAGAAATGTAAACTGGCCCAGCCGGGCCTTAAACCAAGCAACCTTCTTGCAAAGAACCACCTGGGGCAAATTGGAAGTGCATTTAATGTCTTTTAAGGCACTGTAAGCTGTTATTTATCCAGCTTATTCCATGATAATTTGCTAAGTTATATATTTGACAAGTTAAAACCAGTTTTGCTCTTTGCAGTGCAATATTTTTACAATTTTAGTCGTAAAAAGTTGGCGGTTCATTCTGCTGTGGCGACCCCTGATTAATAAAGGGACTAAGATGACAAGAAAATGAATGAATGAATGACATGTTAAATATCCTAGACCATGGAATTAATAAAAATAAAAACACATTTCTAAAAAAACAGCAACCTTCTTGCTGTGAGGCAAAAGTGTTAACCACTGAGCCACTGCACCACATTCTGGAAGCTAATTGCTATTTAAGTTAACTATTGTCATAAAAGTATTATTATTATTACTAATGATAAATGATAATTAAATGAATTAATGATAATAATAATTAAATAAAATAAAATAGATAGATCAGTTTTTCAAAATAAGTACTATATGAAATAATGTAATCCAAATAATCATTTAGTAGAACAGATATATAGTTTTTAATGAGTGACCATACTTAATGTGGTTATGTGTTAAATGATTAAAATATTAAAGGTACAGTGATTTAAGCAATAGTATAAAAATAAAAGTTCAAAAGATTGAAGTATAAAAAGTATAATTTATAATTTATAAAGTATAAGAAGTATGTAAAAGCCTAAAGGTTTAAAATGTTTAATGTTTAAATATGTAATAAAAATTTAATGAATTAGAGTGCTGGACTGTGATCCTTAAGTTATTTAATTTCTTCTTGTTGTAATTAAGCATGACAAGATTATTTTTTGGTATATAAACTTTAGACAAAATGACATTTTAATTGATGTTTTGTGAAAATAATGGTTAAACAAAATATTTAAAAGTTAGCTCTTAGAAAGAAAAAAAAATGGGCACTGGCTGGATTTGCACTGTATGGTTCTAGTGGCTCAATTCCGATTTTTATTTTTTTTTTTCTCCCATGTGGAACAGATCAGATATGACCCATGCATGTGTAGCAGGAAAAAAAAAACACAGGGATTCCGATTTACTCAAATCAGATTCAGGCCTCATTCATATGTAGAAATTTATCTGATATGAATCAGATTCATGCCCTTATGTCAGCAGTGTAAGATAGATCAGATTTTCACCTGTCGCGCATCATTAAAAACCATATTGAATTAAGTCAACTCTGAGGCTTTCATTTCAAAACAGACTTCAGCAGAGTTGCAAACCTTAAATATCATACTACAAGGACTAAAAAAGCTTTTATATTGTCAGGTAACACAAGTAAAAGCATACTGACGAGAGAGCGAGAGAGTGCAACATCAACCACACAACCAATATAAATGAATATAAAACCATTGCATACATCAGATGAATAAATCATCCAATGAACATTAAGATTAAGAGGCCTACTTTTTTACAAATGCCTAGAGTAAAAGAAGATGGCCAAATGAGAACTTTTATGTCATAAACTAAAGTAAAACAACATGTCAAAAAGAATCTAAAAAATGTAACCATGCGAACAGATTAAATACAGGAATGGAGAAAAGAGCACTCTTCTATTATCAGCTGTCAGTCAGCGCCTGCTCTTTTTTTTTTTTTCCTGGTCATTGCGTCTTTGCCGAATGCAGTGTGAATGCAGACAATCAGTTACGAGTCACTTTTAATAGATGATTCAAGCGGGTTATCATAAAAATCTAAATTGTCCATCAAAATCTGCCATGTAAATGCAGCATAAGTGATGTAGGGGAAATACAAAATACTGTAATAAACTCTTTATAATTAATTACCATGCTTAAAAACGTCTTTATGTTAATATGTACATTTAATGTGTCAGTGTGGACTCTAGATATGAAGGTTGAACACATTGTATTCTACAAAGTAAATGATTTTAATTAGTATTCCAAATTTTACTGAAGCATTCATCACAGCAGCTGCACAGCAACCCAGTTTTTAAGAGGTATGTCGAACAGCATTAGTGTGTGTAAATAATGACAGTATCTTCCCTTTTGTGTGAAGTATTCCTCAGAGATGAGAAGATGAAGAGTGTTCTGTGCACGTCTCTCTCTCTCCAGCTGACATAAAGGGATGAGTAGGGAAACTGTTCCCAGATCAGATCTGCTTTGTAGCAAACACTAATTAACGTCAGTTCAGACCAACACTGGCTTCATCTTAGAAGAGATCTCCCACTCTAATTACAGCTGTAAACATGTTGGATTTTCCAATGATATGCTTGCTATCTCCCATCACTGTTTATTATGGATGCGGAACGTGTTGAATTGACGCGACACCAGTGCTACTGGCTCCGTTCTTCACACCTGCATGTCAATACTCACAACTTTCTCTGATGCAGTGCGTTGTGTCCAGACTTTTGCCCATTGAGTTAACAGATAGTGAAATGTATGGCAGAGATTTTCCAAACTGTTTTAGATTATTAGAAGATAATTAGCTGTTTGAAGATGCCACTAATTATCTTGTCAGAGTACTAATCCGTTTCTGTGAGCGCAAACGTTAACTGACAGCTCAGTTAATGACACCTGTAGTGATCAGAGCAAATAAACACGTCGCTCAAACAACACATACTGAACAGTGAGACTTTGGTTTACTCGTCTGCCTTAATGAGTAATTAATGCTTTTATGCATTATATATGTCAAATATGAAGGGATAATCAACAGATTGCTGTGCGTTGAAGGATGTTAAATGCATGACACGGAGGCAAAGAACCACCTGGTGCGAATCAGAAGTGCATTTAATGTCTTTTAACGCACTGTATGCTGTTATTGATCTCACTTACATGTATTACATGGTAATTAGCTAAGTTATAGACTAGTTAAAACTAGTTTTTCTCTTTGCAGTGCAATATTTGTGCAATTATATCATTGTTGTGTTTTATGAGACATTGTGAACATTGTTTGCTACTTATACTATACATAATAGTATACACTTAAAACATTCTTGATTTTTCTTAATATTTAATTCTTGTTTAATATTAAACATCAGTGTTGCCAGATACAGCTGACTTTTTCCAGCCTAAAAGCTGTCCAAAACCCCACAAAAAAACGGCCAAAATATTAGATTAATATTTTATTTAAAACCCCTCTCACCCACACACTGCACTTAATGTTAGAGTATATTTTACTTTCGAAATGAGGTATAAGTTCATTATGTTTGTCATTTTGAATTCTTTTGAACATGATTAGGTGTTGCTTGTTAATCGTTCAAGGCTATGTGTGTTCTTGCTATCAATTGTAGAAAAAGTCATTGATAAAAGTGTAAGATAATCTGCTGTTAATTTAGCTGCAGACGCTGTGTGATGTGCGTGCACACAAAGGGGAGACAGATTTGTCCAGTGAGTCAGATTTTGATTCAACTTTTATTCGCTTCCTCTTGCTGGTGGGCCCACATGGTTTTCATTATGCACGGGTCATTACTATTTTAATGGAGCAGGAGCACAAAGTTATGTTTTGTTAAATAAGTTGCGTATAAAAATTAAATAAATTAAAAAACACCCAAATTTTATCAACTCGCATATGACATTTTTTTACCTGTACAATCAAATTCAAAACCACCAAAATGGACCCGCCCAATCTGGCAACACTTTTAAACATCCAACTCAAAGGCATGGTGATAATTGACATGATTCCAATTCTTTTTTCAAAGTTTAGAAAAAAGTTATATTTTTTTGTTGTTGTTGTTGTTTAAATAGCAAAGTAATGCACAAAGCGGAAATTATTTCTATGAAATTAGAAGAAAAATGTGCTACTTCACACTCAAAGTTTTTTTTTTTTTTACTTTAAAGTCTCTTATTCTTTGAAAAGTACCTGCAGAGTCAGTTGTTTCAGCATTTGTGTGAATGTCCTTGGGTAGAAAACAAGTCTTCGTATTACAACAGGCAGTTTGGGCAGCGATAGCATTTTTTTGGTTGCCATAAATAAAAACATTAGATGATCTAATTGCGTTTTCAATATAAACAAAGGTGTTTACTGAACAGCTTTGCGGGAGATGCTTGAGTGACTGGTTGTTGTTTGTTTTTGTGTCAGGTCTCATCTGATGCCCAGGCTGAAGGAGTCACGCTCTCACGAGTCTTTGCTCAGTCCCACCAGTGCAGTCGAAGCTCTGGACCTCAGCATGGAGGAAGAGGTCCTCATTAAACCAGTGCACAGCTCCATCCTTGGCCAGGATTACTGCTTTGAGGTATAGATACTTTTTCATGCACTTTCACAGCATTAATTATTCACTCATCTGATCCCTCTTAACCCTCTATACGCATTCATTTAAATTTCATATTGCAGTACATTCCTAAGACTGTGTTTCTGAATGGACAGAAATGTTGATTTGTAATTAATTATAATATTAATTGAGGGAAAACAAGAACAATATCAAATCTTATAGGTCCAGTGTTGATTTTTTAATAAGTATGATTTTTCATTTCATCAAGGAGTTTATTGTTATTTGTTTTAAAATGTTTCCAAAGTAGATGACATTTGTCCACAAATAAAAGTGCTATGTGGCTTTTCTTGTTCATCAGGGTTCATCGCTAAGGATTTTTTCACTGTCCCCACCAAAAAAAGAAGTTAATAGCTATTTCTTTGCCACATATTTTAAATGTGTCAAAAGCCAAACATAATTTCAGCATAACTTTTCTTTAAATACAACTGACAGTTTAAGAAATACAGCTGTGATGTAACTAAATTTGAGGAATAAAAAAAAATTATATATATATATATATATATATATATATATATATATATATATATATATATATATATATATATATATATATATATATAAAATCAAAAACGTACACTTTAATCTTGAGCCCGCAGACATCAACACCAAATATGAATCAGACAGTTAAGACTCATCTCAGTTGTTAAGTTTTTGTAAAATTCTATCTATTGAATTAATCAATTTATATATATAAAAAAAGAAGTTGGCTAGCAATATGCATTATAGGCTTCAATTATAGAGAAAAATATCATGAACAGAGACTGCAGTCAGATCATGAAGCATGTCAATGCAGATCTTTGTCGATGTGTCAGTGCAGAAATGAATAAAACAATAAGCCTAATACAAAATATTATAAGAATAAAATATGAAAAATGATCAGATGGTAATTTCTGTCAATTTTCATGATAGATAAACAGCTCTAGCAATATTTCAGCATGCTTTCACTTTTGTATATGAAATGAAACGCACATTTGCCAGTAGGACATTGCCAGACATTGGATGGTTTTGTTTTGTCACTACAATTGATCCGTTCCAGAGTTTGTTTCAATCAAGCTGAGACCACCTCATTTAAGTAGGCATTCCGAGTGCAATTGCTGGATTCACATATGCCAAACGAACTGTACTAACAAACATCTGGGTGTGAAAAGCACCCTATAAAACCATGCAATTGACGAACAGTCGCAGCCAAATTTAAATTTAGTGACAAGGTAGCACTGGCTCGATCAGGCCAGTATTGATCCTGTCTACTGCCCCGAGCGTATCACACGCTGGCCCCGGGCCATCAGGCACTCATTATTGTCGAGCCTTGTTTATGGTTGGTTAAGATGCAAACTATCAAGGATGGGGTAAAAATACTGGTCAGTAAAGTGTAATCTTAAGATGGCTACACACTGAAAGATCACTGAAAGATCTTATAACATTTTTCAGAATGTTTTCAAATGACAAACACAAGGACAAAAAAATTCTAGATTTCATCGTTTTGCTCATGGAGTGTGTGACCACACAACCCAACAAATTTTCCCAAATGTGATCACATGAAATCTTACAAAATCTTTTGAGACTTTAGAATAAACATGGCTGACAAATAAATAAATAAACAAATTGACAAGCTGACATTCACTAAAAACAACTTTTATCATAAATGTGAAGCCTAAACTAATTTGCTTAAATTGTAACTGAAGCTAGCAGCATGTGGGAAATGCACTATTCTAGTACTCGCATGTCTCTTTTGTTCATCAGCAGTCAGAATGTGTGTATTTTGTTTTCTTACTTACTGCAAGTAATTGCCGCAGACACGTTTCTTTATAATACAGTTAAAGTCAGAATTATTAAACCCCCTGAATTATTATTCCCCGTTTATCTCCCCAATTTCTGTTTAACAGAGAGAAGATTTTTTCAACCCATTTCTAAACATATTAGTTTTAATAACTCATTTCTAACTCATTTATTTTATCTTTGCCATGATAACAGTAAATAATATTTGACTAGATATTTTCAAGACACTTCTATACAGCTTAAAGTGACATTTAAGGTTAAGGTTAAGTAGATTAACTCCGCAGGTTAGAGTAATTAGCCAAGTTATTGTATAACGATGGTTTCTTCTGTAGACTACTGAAAAAAATATAGCTTAAAGGGGCTAATAATTTGGACCTTAAAATAGTTTTTTAAAAATTAAAAACTGCTTTTATTCTTGTTGAAGTAAAACTAATAACACTTTTTCCGTTGAATAATTTTGACTTCAACTTTATATGTCACAGCACATTTCAGTTAATAAAAGAAAGTCAAATGCTTACATATTAAATCAGGATTGAATCACAATGAGAAATCTGTGTCAGTCAGACTAAATAAAAAATAAAACAAATCTTTATCAATCAGAATTCAAAATCGTTGCAACCTGTTAAACCTGGTTTGCGTACAGTATATTAAGCTTCCTAAACCTGAATTTACAACGCACTGTTTGAACTCTTGACGCTCAGTAAATAATGTTTTTGTAGAATATCTGTCAGTCAATTTGATCCAGTTTTGCATTTTTTCTTGTCACTAGCATCTTTTGAAATGACACTCCAACACAAGCGCAGCTTTTGCTTTTGATGTAAGCAAGCCGGAAGCTGTGAGATTCCTGGCAGTAAGCTGACAATTACGTGCCTTTTTTCTTTCCAGGTGAGCACCTCCACAGGTAGTAAGTGCTTTTCTTGCCGTTCAGCCGCAGAGAGAGACAAATGGATGGAGAACCTGCGACGAGCCATCCACCCTAATAAGGTAAACGTCCCTTTCTGCATTGACTAAAACCACATGCTCTCAGACTTATTAATGAAGAAATGCAACTCAGTGCAAAGAAAGAATCTGCAAGGGTGATGAAATTTAGATCAGTTTTCTCTCACTCTCTCTTTGATATAAACACATGAGACGATGGAGAGATGCTGCAAAACATATGGCCTCTTTGAGCATGCCAAAGAAGAAGAAAAAAACTTATCCGACAGCTCATTTCACCAATCAATGATTAAGCAAATTAATGATTAATTAGATAGGGGAAAAAAGAAATTCAGGCACAACCTTCAAGTTATATTTGCGTTCTTCACAGCCTGCCTGGGGATGTGTTGAATGTCTGCTCATCGCTCAGTCTTACATTTTAATTACTCGGTGGGTTTCGGAGGTGAACACTGGAGCCAGGCTTTGGAGGGCTTTGCAGTGAACAGATTTGAGCTTTCAGACAGATGTTGGTGCTGTAGAAGTGTGGAGATGATCATAGCTCAGGCATTAGCTGCTGCAGCGGAGGCCCATTTCTGTCTGCCTAATTAGTTCATTATCTGTGATGAGGGCGCACAATGGAGCACCTCAATACCGAGATGCGAAATCAATTGCCTTTGCGGGTGTTTATTTGTGTGGGAATATCCATGAGCACTCGAGACCTACACAATGCCCTGTGCCCTGAGTGCAGTCATCTGCTGTTACAGAGCAGTTTATGAGTCGAGCTATGAAAGGGCTCACAACATTTATTTTCTGTTATCCTTTAGTAATCTTTATTTATTTATTTTCTTGTTCCTTTTTTAAGGATCATCAGTTTAAAGAAATAAATACTGGGTTCCACACAATTCCTTAATGTTGTCCCAACACAAATCGATTGGGTTAGCTTAAATGTTTTACAAATCTAAATGAATTCAAAATCGCCCCCCCCCCCCCCCCCCAAAAAAAACTTAAGAATTGTTGCTACAACTCATGTTAAATAAGCTGTTTTATAAGTAGTTAAATAACAAGCTGCAAAAGTCATTTTTTGAGTGTTTATACATCTCTATAAAGGTCCTACTACACTTTTAAAATGATTACTTAAAACAGCGAGTAAACCCATTGCCTTTAAAATAACAAGTTCATTTTACTTAAAGCGAGTAAACCCATCGACTTGACTTGACTTAACTTTCATAATTGTGCACATACAAAAGCAATTTGTTGAAAAAATCTGGAATGAATATATATATATATATATTTATATATATATATATATACACACACACACACACACACACACACACACACATCTATAAATACATAGATGTCTCATTAGCAGTTGATTTTACAGCCAGCTCTACATAATGGCAGTGGGTTTGTGACCATTTGTGACAAGTTACTTGCGCATCTGCAACCGTATTTACATATGTAAACATATCTGGAACAGATCGGAGCAAATGATTTTAATCAAATAAAATACAAGATAAATACAATAGCTGAAATGACAGTAAAAGTTACCATTATTTATTTGTATTTGTATTTATTTATTAATTTATTGTATTTGCTGTTTTAATTTCCAAAGCTTAAGAGAATTCAAAAAGGTCCACATATTGACAAATGATGTTATGATAGCTGTTTTAATGTTAAGTTATGATTAAATTATCTCTAATTACAATTATGAAATAGTTTAATAAGAAGCAGAAAATGATCATGGGCCAATGGCATTATTATATTCAAATGGTCTATAAAGAGATTTCATTCATGCGTTAGGTGTCATTTGTCATTTATTATGTCAGTTTAAATACAAAAGTGACATTGTTTGAGAAGTTTTTTAGACAATTTGACAACCTAAGACATCACAGTCTTCATTGTCATAACCATGATTGTCACCAGACCATTATAATATACAAGATTTTTTCTCATGACTTTTTTTCAACTGAATTTGTCATCAAAGTTTCCTAATTAAAGTGTCAATACTCTGTCAAGTAATTTTATAACATACATATTTAACAGCATTTTAATGACAGATTCAGTTTGTGTCATTGTAGAAAAATATTGATGCTAATGACATTTACAACGGCCTCATGACAGTCATGTTTATGACAGATTTATGACACATTATGTTGCCTTGTTAATGTTATGTTTGCCTTGAAAATGTTAAGTTTTTATGACTAAGACACTAACAGGTTTTATTGTCTTGGTATTGTCAAGTTGCCATAACATAGACACCTTAAACAATGTCACATTTGCATTTTGAATGACATAACTGAGCAAATGGCAATTAATTACAGTTGTCATAAGCAGGCATAAAATCTCATTCACATTCACTTTATGATTATAAAGGTTTCATGACAGCATTATGAACAACACCTTCAAGTAAAGTGTTACCAAAAATACAAACCAACACAATCCTGTTCCTTTGGGATTTGGCTGTTTTTATTTTACTAGCACAGGCTGTGCAATGTTGTGACATCTTAGAATACGTATTGATTTTTCTTGTGAATGATGAAATGTTGACTATTCCAAGGTGGTGGATGTGTCAGTGTATCTAGAGCGGTCAAATGGGACTGTAAAACACATCCACGCTGAAAAGGATAAATGGAGTGTTTATGAGAGTGCTAAACTGCCCAAATTTCATCACTATTAGTCTCAATCAGCTCAGACATTTCACTCCAGACACAAATGTTTCTGCATGGCATCACTAATTGTGCGCAGGCAGGGCACTGTCATGGCTTGCGGATGAGGGACAAGCTTTTGCTGTCTACCGCTGGTGAACAAGGGTTTTAGTCTGTTCAGTTCAGTGATTCACGATGGTCTGTGGCCTCAGAAATAACTGTGACATTTAGTTTTATTCTGATCTCATCCTCCATTTCCTTCCAAGTTATAAGAGGAAGGAGGGAAATCTATAAATTAACCTCTAACAAAAGCATAATCTTAACTGCAGCATGATGCAGGTCAACTTAATGGCCGTCCCTCGTATATTAAGCCACATGACTTCACACCGCAGAAGCTATTCTATTAAAAAAAGGCCAGTGAAGGACATTAACTGATGAATGATGTCATGCAGTATTTACAGCAGCGTCCGCCTATCTTTACGAGGACATGAAGTGATCTAAAATAAAGGGTCTTTTAATTCCCAGCAAAGGGTGGGTGAACTGAAGCAGAGGGTATTTAATCACTGAGTCGAAAAAAAAAAGCATGCCATTTCTAAATCACTGACCCTGTTAGATGCCACGCTGATGCGGTAATAATCCGCTACAGCCGTGACATGGCAGCCTAACCTCACAATGCCCCTTCCGTCTCTAGGACAACAGTCGGCGGGTCGAAAATATGCTCCGTCTGTGGATCATCGAAGCAAAGGACCTTCCGGCCAAGAAAAAGTACTTCTGCGAGCTGTGCCTGGACGACAGCCTATATGCCCGCACAACCTGCAAGATGAAGACGGATAACGTGTTCTGGGGTGAACACTTCGAGTTCAATAACCTCCCTGCGGTCCAGAGCATCACCGTCCATGTCTACAGGGACTCGGACAAGAAGAAGAAAAAAGACAAAAACAACTACGTGGGGCTGGTGAGCATCCCGGTGGTGACCGTCACGAGCAGGCAGCTGGTGGAGAAGTGGTACCCTGTTAGTCAGCCCAATCCTGGGAAAGGGAAAGCGGCTGGTCCCATGGTCCGCATCAAGGCCCGGTACCAGAGCATGAACATCCTGCCTATGGAGCTGTACAAGGAGTTTGCAGAGTACACCACAAACAACTACATGCTGCTCTGCTCGGTGCTGGAGCCGGTCATCAGCGTCAAGAATAAAGAGGAGATGGCCTGTGCTCTGGTGCACATCCTGCAGAGCACCGGCAAAGCCAAGGTGAGAACTTTCTTACTTAACCCGACTGTGGTCTGGAGATGCACTAGGGGGTATGTATATATATATATATATATATATATATATATATATATATATATATATATATATATATATATATGAGCTTAACAAACCATGACCATTGCACAGTTCATTCACAAGACCTTTAGGTTTTATGGTGCTTACACATGTTTTAGGTTTAAACATTTTTCAGGCATTAGGCATCAAGAAGCTGATAGACATGATCTAAAATCAGTATTTATCTACCCAACACATGCTAACACTAACAAACACTACTGTTTAAATGTCTTCTGTGCACCAAATGTATTTTTTTATAAAACTTAAATAGCTATTTTTTTTTTCAGGAAGATTTTTTTTATAAATAAAAAGTTTTTAAAAGCAGAATTTAGTGGACAATTTATATTTTGTAACAACATAAATTAAAGTTTTAAAAGTTTAAATTAAAGTTTATAGGCCAATTTATTTTTAGTAAAGAAGTAATTGATTGATAGGTGTGCATTTTAACTTATGCATCAAATATGTGCTCCAAACTTGTTCTTGATTGAGACATGTTGAATTTTTATTTTATCATTTGCAGTGTTTCCAAATTGCATTGTTTGTCATTTGTCTTATAAATTTTTATATCTGTGTTATATTATTTTTTGCAAAACTGCTTCTGGCCATGACATGTTCACACTAAATGGTTAACAGAGATGTGTTTAAGGTATTATAAGCAGCATCCTTCATTTATTCTCTTAGGTAAGTTGGGATCTCCATTTAAGTGTCATACTCCAAGGGAAAATGTTTTAAATGCATTATAAAGCTTGAAGCATTAGAATTAGTACTCTGTATCGACCGATCATCCAAAAAAAGGAATCGGTACTGAATCGGTACAGCAAAAATCTTGATCGGAGCATCCCTACATAATTATTCTATAAATTCTGTATAAAATATTGCAAATTTTTAAAAAAAAAAATACATTTATATGCTACATAATATGTAATATATCAAAATTCTATATAAATGTTGATAATTTGCATAATCTAAGCTTTAGTTCAAACATTCTTGAAATTTTATTAGTTATGAAACCATATATTTATTTTGTAAAATAAGTCTTAGCTTTTTTTCTGAGTCCCCTGTCCTTGTCCTGTGCATTTTGCTTTTTCACTGATGCTCTTATTGAACTTCAGAGGTCACAGTGAATCAAAAGCAGTTTAATGCCAGTTTATTATCTCTGCTGTAATATCCTGCTGTTATTCCTTGCTGTTTGGGTTAACAAAGAGATACTACATTAAAGAGATTGTGTGCGGTTTATATTGGCTACATTTCTGAATCTTTGTATTTACGTGCGTCGGATATCTCCTGCTGAGAGGTATTTCGGAGGGATTATCTGGCCTGCTTCTCACAGCATACCGCAGGATCCAAAGAGCAAAATAGCAAAATCGTCCCATTATAACATAAGGGAGGGATTAATGCGGCTGCTCTTATCTGTATTGGCTGCTTTTGAGTCCATCTGGCCCTGATTGGCAGGTTCGGGGATGTTGTAGATGTTATGTTTGCAGTGACTCACAGGATGATATAAACACAAAGGCAGAATGACCTTAGATGGAGGTGGATAAGCCTTTAGTATATGTATGGCATTTAGGGAAGAGCGTGTTTAGACTGCACTAATGTCATTCGCTGTTCGAGGAAAAACAGGACAAACTTTGCTGGTTACTTTTTTAGATACGAACTTCAGCTTTTCTCTTTTAGTTTGAGCATATCGTCATTATCATAACCTGTGTGTGGAGTTTAATTAGACAAACTAAGCATGAAATAAGATTTTCAGAAAGTGATTCAAGCACTTAGTTTTAAATCAGGGTCTACACATGAGGGTCATTTTAGTGGGCAGCTCTCTGGAAACTCTTTTTTTTTTTTTTTTTTGGATGTTTTACAGTGTAGTGCTTTTAATCCAACATCTTGCAGTCACCCGTCAAGTAGTACTCCTGGTGCCATTATCACCATTCATGGAGAATCTGTGAAATGAAGTGTGAAACAAGGTTTTTTTTAAGTCTTCTCTCTGGCTATATTGATTTGTGCTGCATATGCAAATTTTAAGTTAATTGTTGCATATATTTTCAGTTTCAGTAGAGGTCAGAGGTTTTTGTCGGCACCATTTCTGCAGTGCAGTCTTCTTCAGTTCTTTAGAGACATCCAGAGTATCATTTGACAGTTCTATGCCTGCAGACTACAAAACCACATGGAAGTAAAAGCTTTACTGACTTTAATTGCTGAATGAAAGTATTTCAGATTTGATCAGCTGATGTTCAAATGTTGTGAATAAAAAAGGCTGTTCAATTTTGCATTGATTTTTTGGGTCCATTAAAATAGTCACTATCCACTATAGATATACCACACTCTAAAAAAAAAAAAAATAGTAAAAATAAAATAAACGGGAAAATGTACTGGGCTGGCAGCTCATTACGATTTTTACAGAAAATTAAAAAAGAAAACTTCCGTTATTTGACAGTGTGCCCACATTATTTTTTTACAGTTAAACTACTGTAAGAAAATAAAATATTTTATAGTAATTTAAGGTTTTTTGTATTAAAAACTTTTATTTTTAATATAAAAAAACCATCATTATACAATAACTTGCCCCATTACCATAACCTGCCTAGATAACCTAATTAAGCTAGTTAAGCCTTTAAATGTCACTTTAATCTGTATAGAAGTGTCTTTTACTAGAAATATCTAGTCAAATATTATTTACTGTCATCATGACAAAAATAAAATAAATCAGTTATAAGAAATGAGTTATTAAAACTAATATGTTTTGAAATGTGTTGAAGAAATCTTCAGAAATTGGGGAATAAAATAAACGGGGGGGGGGGGGCTAATAATTCAGGGGGGCTAATAATTATGAATTCAACTGTAGTTTTAAAAGTTAGCTTTAAGATAATTAAGGACAAATGGGCAATTTACAAATACTCTACATTTAAAAAAAAAAAAAAAAAAACAGGTTAACTGCAAGATGGCAGGAAATGGGTGATAACACTAGATCGGTCTTCTTTCTCTCCATTACCAATACTTTATTGACTGTAAAACAAACAAACAAAAACATCACTAACGTCATTTCACTTACAACTGGGGTAATTTACACAGAAATGAATGTTTTATCATCATCTTCTTTTCTCACTCTTATTGTCATTTCAAGCCTGTCTGACTGACATTCATCCACAATAGCACAATAGGAGATATTTTAAAGAATGATGGTAACCGTGGCAGCACCCATTCACTTGCATTGTATGGACACATAATCAAAGCAAGTGAATGGGTGTTGCCCATGTTTGGTTACCCACATTCTTCAAAATATGCTATTTTGATGGTTACTTGGGATGGGGATTTGTTTTGGGCTCATAGAAATCAGAATTTAAGACTCAACCTGAGATAAGGAATCAGAAAGATTGATGTAGAGAATGAAGGAAGTCCCTAAACATACTGAAAAATACAACATTAAATTTAGCTAGTCATCTATAAATGTGTCCACAAATGTTAGTATTGTTAACCCCTGTGCTTTATTTTGTCCCCTATGCTTTATTCTCTCTGTTTATTTCCAAATGCAAAGCTTTATAAAACTATGTAATTATGTATAGTATAAAAACACTGTTGGCATAGGTTCACCAAACGTGTTCCTGGAGATCTACAGTACCTTCCTGCAGATTTCAGTTGCAACCCTGATCAAACACACCTGTCTGTAATTATCAAGTGCTTATTCAGGTTGTAATAAATTGGTTCAGTTGTGTTTGATAAGGGTTGGAGCTGAACTCTGCATGAAGGTAGATTTCCAGGAATAGGGTTAAAAAGTATGTTTAGGTGTGAGAACTTGACTGAATCCAGCGTATCATGTGTACAACATTAGCATTTCAGTGGTTTTAGAAAAAAACATTTTGACAAATGTATTTTAATATATGAGATATGTTTTGTGTAGTTCTAAAATGTAGTGTAATTTTTCGAAATAAACCAGCCCAACATAAAATCCTTAAGATTGATCCATGCAAGATTTTCAGGTCAGCCAATATTCTGGTGGAAACGTCATGGTCAAGTGTTGGAATTTTAGGTGGTGAATATTTTTATTTGTGTTTTTTTCATGGTCCGCTGTACATTACTCTTCCTCTTTTTATATATATTTACATATATATACACTTACACACACAATCACCTGCCACTTTATTGAGAAGACCTGTCCAACTTGGAGCAAATGCCTTGTTGATGCCATGTTTAGAGGAGAATAGCCAGACTAGTTCGAGCTGATAACAAGGCAACAGTAACTCAAATAACCACTTGTTACAACTGAGGTCTGCAGAAGAGCATCTCTGAATGCACAACAACAGCAAACCCTAAGGCAGATGGGCTACAGCAGCAGAGGACCACACTGGGTGCCACTCCTGTCAGCTAAGAACAGGAAACTGAGGCTACAATTTGGAAAAACATTGCCTGGTCTGATGAGTCTTTTTTACTGCTGTAACATTCAGATTGTACTGTATGGTCAGAATTAAGTGTTAACAACATGAAACTTCCAGTAGGATAACGTGCCATGTCATAAAGCGTGAATCATCTAAGACTGCTTTCTTGAACATGACAAGGAGTTTGCTGTACTAAAATGGCCTCCGCAGTCACCAGATCTCAATCCAATAGAGCACATTTGGGTTGTGATGGAATGGGAGATTCGTATCATGGATGTGCAGCCAGCAAATCTGCAGCAACTGTGTGATAATATCATGTCATTATAGACCAAATCTCTGAGGAATATTTCCATTACCTGTGCCATGAAGGATTAAGGCAGTTCTGAAGGCAAAAAGGAGTCCAACCCGGTACTAGTAAGGTGTACCCAATAAAATGGCCGGTGAGTGTATATGGATAGAGGAAGAGAAAAATCTATTGCTTTTTTCTCTTATTCAGTATAAAACGTGCTTAACAATAATACAACAATGTCTCATTTGGTAGGAAATAGCTTATTTGAG